ATAGAGAGATCCCCAGAAACACACCCAGAACACACACACACACACACACACACACACACACACACACACACACTCCACAATAATGCTTGTTTTTGTAAGATGAAGAAATTGGTAGCCAGATGCATGGGCTTAACATGGCTGCACATCCGGGCACCAATTCCTTAGTGATCTAGCTATGTAATGAGATAGGGACCAGGTACCAACAGCAATTAATGACCAATGCTGAGGTGGTGGTGGCCCTGTCTGTCAGAACTGTGTGTACTCTACAAGTGCAATTCTAGAGTTGACTGAAATAAGTAGGCGGTAAAGGGCTACCTGGGAAGGTCAGTTTATTTGCTAACCTTGGGTTGTGTCAGTGTGTACTAATTAGTTCCTTCGTTTAAGATAGCTCAGCCTTTCCTTCCCTGTGAAAAAATCCTGCCCCTTTCCATACATCTATGTACACGGCTTCCCTCCTGGTTGCTGCTCTGTTGAGTGTGGCTGGACTGGGCAGGTCGTGGGAAAGATCTCTAGGCAGCTGGCTCATCTGAAAGCCAGGCCTGGCCTGTGTGGGGAGGGCGGGCAAGAGAGGAGGCCTTTCTCCCCTCCTTTGGTAAGAAAATAAAAGAGATAAATGAAGCCTAATCCTGACCCAGGGGCGAATCCCAATAAAGGTCCAGGTTAATTCTTCCTGCTGATCCAACCCTCGGATTCATTGTGAGAATTAGAGAGTTCTGAGCACTAATTTGCCAGATGAGATTGTATAATTATCTTTTATGGGCCTGAGTGTGATGGAGGCTTGGAGTTTGTGCTGCAGGGGCGGGCTGCCTGCCTGCCTACGCTTGGTCTTCCTTCCTGCCAGGCTTGAGCATCCCACAGACAGGTGGGGGTGGGAGCTACTGTGGTCTCTGCGATCAGACAGACCCAGCAGGGTTTGAAGCTGCCGTGCCCAACCACCTGGGGGGGGTGCTTGCCCATAATAAAACTGGGGAGTTTTAAATGGAAACTCCAAAGGGTGAACACATGCAAGGCTATGGTAGGGATCAGGTTCCTGGCTGGAGTGGGCACCTTCCAGAAAGATCCCTCTACGAATCAACACTAGGGCTATCAACAGGGCATCTCAGCAAAGCCCACTGAATTTGAGAGTGTGAAGAAGCAGGTCATTTCAGGATCAAATTGTGATGGTCATGCCCTTATGATTGCATAGTTCCCTTCCACCATAAAAATATTAAAATGAAAGTTTTATGACCACAGTGATAGAAGAATGATTAGTAGCCAGGCTGGACCCGTGACCTAAGCATTTCTGTGACTATCATTGCTATGACATTGCTCTGGTTCAGAAAGACACAAGAGCATCTCTGTGGGCAGATAAAACTAACTGTGGCCTGGTAGATATGTTGGCCTTGGGGGAGTTTCTGGAAATGGAACCTAGTGCTGTGACCTCCAGAAAGCTTCTTGGCCTATTTTGTAGAAGTCACTCCAGTGGGCTATGTCTTACTTATTCTAATAAAAACAATTATATTCTATGTGATACATGGTTCAAACATACGAAGGGATCATGAAGGAGCTGGTTTGGGTTGAAATTGCAAGGTGTGAGAGGATGAGAGGCATAATGAGATCCCGACCGGGTGTGTGCTGCTTCTGAAGGTGTTCCACCCAACCCCTGTCCATTGTCCTCCACAGGAAAGGGGCAGGAAGGGCCATGCTGACAAGAGTGGGAGGTACAGGAGAGCTTCCAGGGCACATTCTTGACAGTGTGTGCCAGGGACAGAGTCAGTGTCCCTGCGTAGTCAGTCTGGTGTTCCCTCTCTCCCCCTCCTCACCTCTTCTCCCTTCCCCCTCCCTCAGTCTCTGGGCGGTTTAGGTGGCTGTGCTACTTCAGAGAACAGAATGAAGCAAATGTTGGGTGGGATGCATAGATCTCTTGAGATACACAACTGCCTAGAAATGGGTCTCTTCCTGCAGACTCCACAGTCCCCAGAAGGGGAGCTGCAGCTGGAGGGAGGTTTGGCTGGCTTGTCTGAGTTCCTGGGAGTGTGGGAGGATGAGAGAGGGGTGTCTCTGCACTCAAGCTACCTATGCATTATGGACCAAGGACCCCCAGCCTTGGGTTTCCCCAGGAACACATTGAAAATGCAAGTTTTGGGCTATGGAGATTGCCCAGCGGGTAAAGTCCTTGTTACATGTCCATGAGGACTTCAGTTTAGTTTCCTTGAACCCAAACAAAAATGCCAGAGTGTAGGCCTCTGAGGTCCCAGCACTCTACAGTGACTAGAAAATTCTTGAAAGCTTCTGAGTCAGTTATCCATAGCAGGGAGAGACGCTGTCTCAAACAAGGTGGAAGGTGAGGACCAAAGCTTGAAGTTGTCCCCCAACCTCTGTAAGCTATCCTTGGCATACACAGCGTGGCATGTGCATGCGTGCACACGCACATACGCACGCACAAACACACACACACACACACACACACACTCACGCACACACGCACACACTCACGCACACACGCACACACTCACGCACACACAGAGCATAGTTTTAAATGTAGATTCTCAGGTTGCCACCTCTGCACTGTGAATTTCCTTTAGCCACATCTCCAGCAGATCCTCAGAATCACTTAGGGTACACTGTAGGAGCCTTCCTCCTAGTGCCCAGACCTCACAGGAGACCAGTCAGGACCCTTGGCATGGGATCAGGTTTCAATATGATTTTTACAGAATCTTAGGGGAAAGGGGGATCACTCCACTCTCCAGCCATTTAACTTCAAGAAGATCCCAGCTCAGGGTTCTGACCTGCTGCTCTCTCTCTTCTCCCTCTGATTTAGTAGGCTGGGGTGAGATTTCACGGGGCAGCATGAGGACTGAAGATTGCCTCCTGTTTAAATTAATTCAGCTCTCTACCAGAGGGAGGGGCAAAGTTAACACAGTCTATATCCATGAATGAGATTATGGGATGTGTTCTACCCAATAATAAACCGCAGATGGGTGGATGTGGGACCACTATTGCAGAGAGTAGGAATGGGAATCTGTGCTAGATGCAAGGTTGGAGGTGCAAAGGAGCCATTTGTTCACTTCCTGGGAACGAGTTTTCTGTTTCTGTCAGTTGGCCAATGAGGTTACAGGGATAAGACAGTTCCTCTGAGTGCGAATGGTCCATTTGCTTTGCCCCACAGTCAGAAATCTATTGCAGGAGGCTGGGGTGACAGCTCCGTTGATAAAGGGCTTGGCAGGTAAGCCTGAGGATCCGGGTTCAATCCTCAGCATGACCACCCATGTATAAAGCATTTATAAACCGAGTGCTGGGAAGGTAGAGACAGGATGAGTCCCTGAGGCCCACTGTTTAACAGGCCTGGCCCAAGTTTCAGTGAGAGAGCTTGTCTCAAAAACCTCGTGACTCCTGATGCATGACACCTGAGTTTGACCTCTCCACACAGACATACACATGCACCTCTTGGGAGCTTGACTATGCCAAGCCTACTGCATTTGAGGCCTGAGGCCGGTCCTTGGTTAAGTTCATGAACATGAGAGTAGGATGCAGGCTCTGCAGACACGTCACTGGAGAGGCTCTGTGGTATGGGGGGGCAGCAGGAGGACCCCTCCCCAATCTGACCTAATGGCTGGTGGTGTTGGCTGCAGAGGACCAGCCCTGCCCTGTCCTCAGGAACTCAGAAACCCTGGAGCGGTGATATGTGAGTGCAAACCTAGCCACCCAAACAATTCTCTCCCTTGTGTTGAAGGTTACCAGTTTTCCGTTTCAAGTCTGATTGTATTCTTTTCCCCTCTTGTCTGTCTTCTCTCTGTTTTCATTTGCCAACCTAAGGGTCTAGAGTGATTTCTTTGAGCCTAATGATGGTGAGGCTTAGAATGGGGCTATTATCTTTAAACACCGTTTGAAATACTACTCTTCCTGGTGTCTGAATTAGACAGAACAGAGGCCGGATTTAAAGATTAACTATCTGTTTTAACAGCAACAACAACAGCAACTCTGCTGATACCTGCACATTTGTTCAGGAATTACCTGAACTAACTCACAGGCAAGATACCCACAAGGGAATGCATAATGCAGAGCAGTGTACCAACCAATGTTTACTACAGTGTGGCGGAGGTGAGGTGCGGAGCCCGATGGTACGGATGTACTGTCCTGTTGAATGAGGGCAGACAGACAGTTAAGTCCAGCATACAAAAATAATGGGCTAGGAGTCTATGTAAAAGGACCAGGCAGCTAGCTCCTTTGGTTGTTTTGAAAGCATGGGAACCTGAGTTCAATCCCCCAAATCTGTATTGGAAAAAAAAAAGCTGAGAGTTGGGAGTAGCAGTAGATAACTTTGTATAGCACATTTATATAAACATACAAATGTGCCCAGCGTGAATACGCACACCTATGAATGAACAGACCTGAATACACACGTGTGCACACACATGAAAGATCCCACTCAAGCCAGAACAGCTCCGTATTTGTCCATCCATTGTTTGACTATCAAGGTCAATGGTTAATAACTTGGAAAAAATTACTATCCACTGTAATATCTTTTTGCATTTAGTTAATTATAGGTTTAGTTTATTTATCTATTTATCTATTTATCTATCTATTTATTTATTTATTTTTAAAGAACACATTTCGCTGAAAGTAGTTTTGAATTTGTCACGATTCCAATTGAGTGGTTTCATTGCATATGAAGGAATGTTTAGCAACCATCAGCCAGGTGAGGTGGCTCATGCTTATAGTCTTGGCACTTTGAAAGCTGAGGAGGAGGAAGGTGCATGAGTTCAAGGCCAGTCTGGGCTACACAGTGAAAGCAGGTTTCATGAATGAACAAAACGAATGGATGAATGGATGAGTGAATGAACGAATGAATGAATGAATGAATGAATGAATGAATGAATGAGGAGTAACTGTAGCCCTTAAGCTCCCATGACCCTGAAAGGCCTGGCATTCAGGGTTTACCCCCACCACATGGTGAGGCGGATGATGGTGTGTTCCGTATTGCCCTGCTTCCGGGTTTAACTCTCCCCTCATTGTTCTAGGTGAAGCCAGAGGTTCCTGCTGACATGGAGCAAGGACAAGAGAAAGGTGAGTTGCACACAGATGTCTCCGTACTGCGTTCCTTCTGTTCTTTTTGCCTTCAGGAGTGGAGTCATGTTCCTTTGTATGCCCCCTGGTGTAGACACACCCCTGACACCTGCCAGAGCACAGGCAGCAGGCAGGGGTCTTGCAGTTGGCTGCTGGAGCTGGCTTAGGCCATTGAAAATACAGCATGCTGTTAAGCCAGGCAAGGCTGTGTTCTGTGCTTTCCTGATTGTCACTTGGGTTGACATAAATGCTCACATCACACCTCTCATGGCTGTAGCAGATAGGTTACAGTATGCCCAAAGGCCAGACAAGGAGATTGAGGTGGAATCACATGTCCAAGATGTAGGTTTTGGGAGACAGTTAGGACTCAAAGCCAGGTTCATATCGGCACAGTTCTATATTGCCCTTTTGCATGCTGAACATGCAACAGCTTCTTGCTGCCTTTACAGAGTTCACTGCAGGGACAGTCTTGTAGCACATGGGAAGAATCACCAGCAGGTGACTCCAAGCCTACACACATACACACCCACACACACCAACACACACCCACACCCCCCCAAACCCCCACACCAACATACACCCCCCCCCACACACACGTACACATCCCACACACATACATATACACACACATACACACCCAAGCCCACACCCATCCTCCCCCCCAACACACATGAGATAGGCAACAGGTGGATCCCACCTGCTGCCCTTCAGGAGCGCAGAGACTACCCGCTGGATTAAACAAGATCTCAGAGTTTTCTGAAAGGCTGCCGACCCAAGTCTGGTCCTAATAGTACTGGATGTAGAACACACGGCCGCTCCTTTTATCCAAGAGGTGGCTTTGCCCATTGCTGTCTAGACTCCTCCATCCAACGTGGTTACAGCAAGTCTGGCCATAAATCTCAGGGGTAGGTCCTGAGTGGGAGGCTCAGAATACAGGAGTGTTTGACCAGTGATACCAGATCATCCCTGCATCTCCCACAGAGCCTGGAAATGGAGAACTGGGGGTGGGAGCGGGGCTGGACCTGGACAACTCATGAGAGGAGGATGGGGTAATACCTTGCCAGGTTGGACGCAACATTTGACAAGTGGCAGTAGTTTTTTCTTGCTTCAGTCTTGGCAGTTCTGGATTTGACTGTGAATAAGTTTCTAAGCTTCAGTTTCCTCTGTAAGATGGTGATGCTGCAGTCCTGCAGGCGTGGAACGAAATAGGATACAGCCAAGGTCTGCCAGTGCACAGAGTCCTGACAGTATCACGGAGAGTTCCTCTCCAAGCCTTCTCCTCCCTCCTCCCTCATACCCCTCTGGCTTTGGCTTTTGGGGAACCAGCTGGGGGACCCATGCTGTAATCTGGGGGCTTCGGTCTCTTCCTCCTAACTGTTTGCATCTTCCCTCAGCCTCTCTCTTAAACCCAGTATTCCATGGCTACTTGATGCCTTTGGAAACCCATTGTAACTCACCTTTTACATCCCTGCTCCGCACCTTACACGTTCTTTCTGCTCTCTACGTCCCCACATCCTTTCCTCCCGCCTCACCCGTGGGCTTCACCTTTGGAAAGCTCCTACCCACACATGTCCCATGGGCTGGCTGCTTCTTCACAGGCCCTTCAGGATGTCACCTGCAGTGCTGCTCCTGAATTCTCACCTTGGGCTCTAGGCAGTAGGTGTGGAAGGGCACGTTGTTCGGGGCCTATGCCTCCCGTCTCTAAACTTTTTCTATCTTCATTTCTCGCCTGAAGATCTAAGGACCACAGAGAAGAGACCTGGACAACAGTGGGCTCCCTGAGGAAGTGTGGCCTTGTACTGAGGGACTGTTGTTGAAATCGCTTTTTCAGCTTCTGTCTTGGCTTGGTAACTTGGGCTGTATGCATATTGGGGTCAGGGATAGTTAATGAGTGACTTGAGGGGATTTCCAGGCAAACTGTGGGTACTGCCTTTCTGAAAACAGCACTCTTGCTCATTATCTGCCCTCAGGCTTCCTTCCTCCTCAGCCCAATGCCAGAGTACCCTATAAGATGTAGTGGTTTCCTCGGGCCTGAATGGCTGTGGTTCCGTTCTTTGTTCATTCATTCAGCAGAGACTCAATGATGTCTACAGAGGAACAGATAAAACAGGAGTGATCCTGTTTTCATGGAACTTGTCTGCTAATAGGCAAACAACTAAATGGTACATAGCAGCTGTTGGTACTACAGAATAGTATAGAGCCAGAAAATGCAGCAAGTGAAGGCAGGTTGGAGTGTTCATTAAAGGGAGATGGGTACATGAAGGAGGGGTTAGGGGAGGACCCTGCATGCCTTTCGGAAAAGCCCTTGGGACAGAGGGAACAGTCAGAGCCAAAGATCAGAGCAGGAGCCTGGAAGTGCAAGGTGGATCCAGAACCCAGAGCAGATGTGGTAGGGTCTCAGTGAGGGCCGATGCACAAGACGACCACACCAGGGAGAGCCTTGAGGGAGTGTAGCCTTGAGGGAGTGACATGTGCGAGGATTTGACTTTCCGTCCCAGGGCCCTTTTGCAGGGACTGGTATAGAAGCCTGGAGGAGCAGGTGCCTGGGCAGAGAGGTTCCAAAGTGGGAAGGGCGGTAGTGATGGTGGTATAGGATGTGCCCGTCTCCCTTCTCTCGTGTCACATACAGAATGACAATGAGGATGCTATTGTCACATCGCAGGAGCTTTCACAACTGCTGAGTTTAGAGTGACCTCTGGCATTGGGGTCTGGCCTTAATAAGATTACCCCAACACACACAGACACACACAGACACAGACACATACACACACACACACACACACACACACCTGTAGGTCTGTCAGCAAAGGAAACTGGATCCTGAATAAGAGGACAGAGACTAAATGTCCATGTTCTCTTGTTCTGAACGTGTTCTGTCATGGGTAGGTGCTAGGTGTATTTGAAGGACACCTGACAGAGACACCATCAGGGTTCAGAGCAGCTAATGTCCCCGAGGGTGCTCCTGTGTGGGCTCCTCAGAACTCTGAGGGCTGCAGCCCTGTTCTTCCTCTCAGCTTGCCCTGCCCCTCTGAGAACCTGCAGCTCAGCAGCTGTAGAGATGAATGGTATCAGCCATCATGCATCAAGAAGAGGCAGGCTCTGGGGTTCATGCTGGATGCAGAGGGTCTTTCTGAGAAAGTGTCCAGTGCATCTGACCTCGGTGGTTGTTAGCTAATGTCCTGTGATGGTGTGTGACACGGAAGCCAAGCCTGTAACACAGTGAATGCTTGGTATCTCAAACGGACACCAGGCATTGTGTCGTGTGTGTGTGTGTGTGTGTGTGTGTGTGTGTGTGTGTGTGTGTGT